GTGGCTCAGTCGGTTGAGTGTCCAACTTCGGCTCAGGTCATGATCTCACAGTCTGTGAGTTCGAGCCCCGCGTCGGACTCTGTGCTGACAGCTCAGAGCCTGGAGCCTGCTTCGGATTCTGTGTCTCCCTCTCTCTCTGCCCCTCCCCCGCTCATGCTCTGTCTCTGTCTCAAAAGTAAACATTAAAAAAAATTTTTTTTAATAAAAATAAATAAATAAATAAAATAAAGTATCTCCTCTATCATAAACTTGATCTATATTTCAGTTTCTGAGTGTCCTTCTCAACCATCTTTTCTCATTTGCCCTTCACAATATTGCCTTATTTCTCCTGAATTCTTCTGATCTCTGACAATTATTTCAAAGTCTCCCTCGCCCCTCCTTCCATGTTTCTCTGCAGGACTCTCTCCGAGAGGTTCGCCCTGGGTGATGATCTCCTGCATTTCACGGCTTCGTTCCTCCGTTCACGATGAAATGGAAATTCTGGGCTGCCCTCTGTGGTCGTACAGGTTGGTCACTGCATAATGCTGCCAGGCCAAAGGGGTAAGCAGAGGTGAAATCCATTCTCCTTTCTGCTTGCCAAGCCAGGCACCCACATGGCTCCCCAGATCCTCATCTCCGGCCCAGGTGCCCCCCCCCCATGTCACAGACGCATCCGTCCAAACATAGGCTGGCCAGCTCTCCAAGGAACCCTACGTGCAACATGGATTTTTGTCTTCTCCCCTCCAAACCCGTTCCTCCCTCGTGTCCCAGGTGCTCCCTGCACGGCTCCATCACACAAAGCAAAACAACTCAGAGGAGCCTTGAGTCCTTCTTTCCCTCACCTGCTACACCCTGTCGGACGGATTCTACCTCCTCCCTCCCCAGCTACAGCTGTAGGTGTGGCGCCGACCTCATTCCTTCTATTCTCATTTTGTTTGCGTGGGCCCATGCTCACCGCCCTGCTTCCTCCCCTCTGCTGCCCAAGCAGTCTTGCCACGCTGTTCTGATCACGTCAGGCCTCTGCTTTAATGCCTTCTAGAGCTGTCTGTTGCCCTCAGGGCAAAGTCCCAGGTCCTCCCGGTGTCTCGTGGGGTCATCGGTGGGTCAGACTTTTCCCCGCCGTCTCGCCCTTGTGGCGCGGTGACCCCCGCGTGGAATCCCTGAGTCCAGGGTCCCTCCCTCTTCCAAGACCCGGCAAAAGCTGGTGACCCTCTACCCCGGAGCCCCCAGATGTCAACACTAACACTCACAATGCCTGTGGGCATGTGCTGTCTAGGACGCCAGTGTTCCAAGGCAGAGACGGCTTCTTGTCCGAATCGGCATCCCCATAGCCCAGCCTGGCCGCCAGCGCTGTGACGATGCCTGTCCCTAAAATCCTCAGTGGATTTCAAAATAAACAGATGAACCAGAGAAACGTAATACAAATGCAAACTTGGCTGTCAACTCGCTGCACTTATATGTGGTGTAGAAACAGGGACCGAACACCCACCGTGCCCAAGGGCCCTCTGCGAAGCCATCGGGGATTAAGGGACACCAGAAGTATCTGGAAGAGAGGGAGATGAACAGGAAGACGAGAAGAAAGGTGTGTGGGGGCCAGAGCAGGGTGCACGGCCCTGGCCCGGGTCACATGGCAGGAAGAGGCCCCAGGGCTAGGGCAGAAAGGGGGGAACGCATCTGGCCCGGCCAGGACGAGACACAAAGTCAAATGCCCCCGGGGAGTCAGGAGGTCAGGAGGAGAGCAAGAGGCTGTTCCGACAGGTGCTTCCCCCACAGAAGGGCGATCAAATCCAAAAATGTCATCGGAAGCCCAGGAGCCGAATCAGAAAGACAGCTGGGCTTCTGTTCCCTCTGGCTAAAGAAAAAATCCTTACTAGGATGTTCAGGGTCCGCACGATCCCTCCAAACAGGACTATCTCTTTGCCGTCAGAAAGGCATTTCCCGGGGCGTCCGACTGTGGCTCAAGTCGTGATCTCGCGGTTCGTGGGTTCGAGCCCCACGTCGGGCTCTCCCCCGACAGCTCAGAGCCCGGAGCCTGCTTCGGATTCTGTGTCTCCCTCTCTCTCTCTGCCCCTCCCTCGCTCGTGCTCTGTCTCCTTCTGTCTCTCAAAGATAAATACGCATTAAAAAAAAATTTTTTTTTTAATTTTTTTTTCAACATTTATTTATTTTTGGGACAGAGAGAGACACAGAATCGGAAACAGGCTCCAGGCTCCGAGGCCATCAGCCCAGAGCCCGACAGTGGGGCTTGAACTCACTGGACATGAGATCATTGACTGGCTGAAGGAAGGACTGGCGCTTAACCGCTTCACCACGCCACCCAGGCTTCTAAAATTTTTTTAAATTTTAAAAAAGAAAGAAAGAAAGGCATTTCCCACCCCCCAACCCTTTCCTTGGCCAGGATTACCGCATGAGCCTATCAGAGAAAGCAGCAAGATCTACAGGAGAGGACGGCGGGACGTAACAGAGAGCTTAAGGTGTTGAGTGGTGGCTCAGAAGCCCACCCTCTCCTTATCACACAGCCCGTGAACCCCGAACTAAGATCGTCTATGCGTGCTTAAATTGGCAAAGAAATCACATTGGTGGCGATGGAAAAGCTATCTGACATTCACGTTTCAGTGTCTATAAACAAAGTTTTATGAACACAGCTACCTCAGCGGTTTCTGTATGCGTCGTCTGTGACAGCTTTAAATTGTGGCACGAGGACAGAGCTGAGGAGTATTGGCACAGAGACCACAGGAGCCTCATGAACAAAAAAAACGTGTCACTGGCTTCCTGGCCTTTACAGAAGACAGTCTGCCCATAGCCACTGGGTGTAGAGTCTCTGGGGATCAGTATATCCCGGACCCAAGCCATGACCCTGATCGCCAGCCCTGACCATAGGCACGAATTAGTGAAAAGCCTGGGCCTCAAAACAGCCCCAGACACTGTCAGTTAATTAAAATGGGACTTTGTTATCCCTTAACGAAGACGGGAGAGTCACATTAACAGTAGTAGCATGTGCCTGCAGTGGAGCATCACGGAGCCGTGGCGGTATTTGCAACATTAGTTCAGTAACATGTACACACTTATTGCCAGAAAGACGCTGTCTGACCAGTTCCCAAATTCGAACCTGGACCAAATTCTTCCGATTCAGTAAGAAGAATGAGCACGTGTCGCTGTAAGAGAATGAAGGATACAAACGTCTGCAACACGACGTGCAGGATAACAGCTTTAGGGAAGGCAACCACAGATTTTACTTTTTATTCTTTTCACACCCAGAGTTTTTTCTTAACCAGAATGTTCCTCTCTAATTAAAAAAATAAAATAAAATAAAATAAAATAAATAAAATAAATAAAATAAATAAAATAAATGAAATAAAATAAAATAAAATAAAATAAAATAAAATAAAATAAAATAAATGCAGATTTTACCAAGCCTCTCTTGACCACCCTACCACCCTCATAACCCTTTGCGATAGAGAGTGGGCTGATTCAGGAGCAATCCATCAAGAGTACAGATTCATTTATATCCAAGGACCTCTGAGGTCGGCATCATGCTGTGCCTAGAACTTCCTCTGAAACTTCAAAAGGCCGACCACGGTGCAAGGGAATATTCGAGGTATGTGTTTGAGGAAGCTTAAGATTAGAACAGATCGTAGAAATAGTTCACTTCCTTTCCTGCAGCCCCAGTTACCGCCTCTGCTGGAACAAGCCTCAAGCCCGCGGACAGTGAGAAACCAGCGACCCCTAGTGGCAGCTGCTTTCTCTGCTGCTCCCTCTGAAAGGCTGGCTCCCCGTTACCAGGACCCCTCCGAGGGTGGCCTTGCAATCACCGGCCATAGTAACGGTCCCACTGGGTCGGAAGAGGTGACCGTTAAGTCAGGTGGGTGCAGACACGGGAGGTGAAGGACCGAGGCAGGGCCGACACGTGGACATAGACTGTATTTCACATCCGCCTTGACATTACACATCTGTGATTTCAGCCCACATCGAATTCTGTGTTTCCTTCTCTGGGAGGTGTGGAGGCTGCTTGAAGAGACAGAGCCCTCTGTATTTTTGCTCTGCCCTGCCTGGCCCTGCCCAAGACCACCCTGTTCTAGAACCTACTGCTGCTCCTTCTATACACCTTCCCTAGCCTTCTTGCAAACCCCACTCTACAGCCCGCGCATGCTGGGGGGTCCTGAGTCACCGTGAGGCCCAGGAAGTCCACAACAACCGAGTGCAAGAGGTGTGGTCCTAACTCAACAGAACTGCACATGGGACCCGTGTCCTCTGTTAGAAAAAATAATTCTGCAAGTAACCCCAGAATTTCCCAATGAGCATCCCAAGCACTGAGCCAGTGGGATACTTCAGGGAGAAGATGTTGCAATCAAATTGGGAAACCCCACACCAGCAGCCCCTGTGTGGAAGCTTCAGTCTTATTAGCACAGGCGCCACACTCCCAGAGGATCCTACAGTAGCTAAACCGGCTTACTGCTTAAAACCAGATGTTGACTGAGAACTGAGGTCCCAGCTTTGGGAACTGGCCCCAGACCATGAGACTGGGTTTGACTTATGCCGGGAGATGGGGTGTGAGTTTCCAGAGATGACTGAACACAACCTTGAAGGGCCTCCCAAAATATCAGCACGGACCCCTTACCACCCGACACCGTGGGAAAGCAAGAGTCCCCCACAGCCCCGGAGGTAGGTTTCCGAAGAAACAGTCTGAGCATGACCGGTTTCAGTTACAGAGGACAGAGAAACCCGAGGAAGGCTGGTGCAAGGTCCCCTGCCACCCCTCCAGAGTGGGGACTCACCATTGGTGGTCGTGTTGACATAGGTAATGCTGACCTGAGGAGACAAGTAACTCTGCCAGCCAGGCGGAAGGAGGATAATCTGGCTTTCCTCTCCAGGCCCATTCCAGGTGGGACCATTAGTTTCTGTGGAAGAGGAGAAAGGTCACACAGTGATGGGCACTGGGGCTGGGGCTGTCGGGTCAGGCACTCACAGGGCCTGCACCTGGCACTCTGGCTCTGGGCCCCATCACTCTGCACACCCCGGCTGGTGGAACCTGGAAGCCAGAGCACCTCGGGACCAGAGCACTGGGGACTTGACAGCAGCAGGCGAGGGGCCCCGAGGCTGGCTGTGTGAACCACCTGCAAACAGTGCTAACGCCAAGTCTCAGCAGAGCGATGCCACAAAAGCTTCTCGACACCAGCGCCGAGAAACTGAATGGAGGAGGGCAGGGGGCTTTTCTGGTCCTGTCCAAATCTCGGGGAGATCTGGAGAGAACCGGGCTCATGGTAACAAACGCGACTCCTTTGCTTTGCTCACGTGCACCCACGGTGGGGTTTAATTCTTTTGACCAGGGGAGCAGTGTTCTTAAAATAAAATTAGGCGCCTGGTGGCGAGTCGGCATGATTCGTCCGACTTCAGCCAGGTCGCGATCTGCATGATCCGTGGTCCGAGCCCCAGCGTCAGGCTCTGGGCTGATGGCTCAGAGCCTGGAGCCTGTTTCCATTCGATTCTGTCTCCCTCTCTCTGCCCCTCCCCGTTCACTATTTGCTCTGTCTCTCTCTGTCCCAAAAATAAATAAATGTTGAAAAAAAAAAAATTTTTTTTAAATAAATAAATAAATAAAAATTGGAGAGGTGTGCCTGGGTGGCTCAGTCAGTTCAGCGTCCGACTTTGGCTCAGGTCATGATCTCGCGGTTCATGAGTTCGAGCCCCACGTCAGCCTCTGTGCTGACAGCTCAGAGCCTGGAACCTGCTTCCGATTCTGTGTCTCCCTCTCTCTCTGCCCCTCCCCTGCTTACCCTCTCTGTGTCTCTCTCAAAAATAAATACACATTTAAAAAAAATTTTTAAATAAATAAGAATAAAAATCAGAGAGGGGAGCCTGTGTGGCTCAGTCAGTTAAGCATCCGACTTCGGCTCAGGTCATGATTTCACAGTTGGAGGTCCCCGAGGCCAAGTTTCAGAAGAACAGACTCTGTGCCTGACAGACGGAGCCTGGAGCCTGCTTCGGATTCTGTGTCTCCCTCTGTGTCTGCCCCTCCTGTGCTCATGCTCTGTGTCTCTCTCTCTCTCTCTCAAAAATAAATAAACATTAAAAAAGAAAAAAAAAGTAAGCAGTGCAGACACATGGTTCCTTGGCTCTCCTGCTCCTGTATTTTCTTAAGGCTGCAAAAACACATACATGTGCCCTGCACGCCCTCAGCAGGGACCCAGTCAATCCTAGATGCTCCCGGGACCCTGAGTAAACACGGCCTCCCCATGGCCAACTTCCATCTCCACGGCTTTTAACCCACAGTGCGTCTTCGATTCAGTACGGACAGGTGTCCCAGCACCGGGTGCCGGACAGCGGCCAGGCGGCCTCCTCCCCAGCAGGGCATGTCCAGAATCCCAACACACACCTGATCACGTTTACCTGGACCTCCAGACACCTGCTTCGGCTCCTCCCACATCGGCAGGTGGTCAAAACACACACACAGCAAACGGTCTTATGAGGAGTCCAGTGTGCAGGTGCACACGTGTGTGTGGATAAAATATCCCACATACAGGAGATGTGCATCTTGGCTAAGTGGAGCTGGGAGTATTACAGGAATCAGGAGGCTATGAGGCTTCACGTAAGAGAGGAATATTCTAGAACCCAGGGGGTAAGACGGTAGGCTGCTTCTGTGGAGTCAGGTGTCTTAGAGCATCCAAGAAGGGAAGGCCATATTTGGTGCTTCTCCTAGCAGCCCCGGGGAGGAAATGGGCAATTGTTAAAGGGTATTAAGCAAGGGTCAGAGACGGACACGGCCAGAAATAGGGTACAGAGGAGAGAGGGACCCAGAAGCAAAGGGGAAACGGCCCTCTGGCCTGGGGCTCAATCCTGACTCAGCCCCTGAGCAGCCACATGACTTGGGGAAGTGACTCAGTCAACTGCTTTTATCTGTACATCCACAAAACCGAGGGGGAAGACAGGAGCCCTGCTGCGGAAGGCGCCATGGACATGAACGATAATGCACTCAGCACCTAGGAGAGTCTCTGTCACCAAGATGCCTCGTAGCTGAGGGTTCCCGGCGGGAGGGACGCGTTTAAGAGCCCAGTGAGACCCGGTTTCACGCAGCCTCTGCCCCCTGGATGTGAAGTTCAGGGGCCCACAGTCCAGCCTAGCACTCTACCACGTCTGAAACAATGTCACCGTTAACTGTCGCTCCTCCCCAGACCTCTGTGTCCAAGACTGTGCAATTCAAAGGGCAAAGACCCACCCGCTGGGGAGGCTAACGTGTTAAGAGGGTGACGAACACGGAGGCCAGGTGGTGAGCAGACCGCTAGCTCCTTGTGGGGTGGGGTGGGGGCGGTTGAGGGAGTGGAGGGAACTTCTAACCCTCCATGGCCTACCTGTGACACAGCAAACAACGACACCTGTCCCGTGTCCATGGCTACACAGTGCTTTTCGTCTTCAGAATGACTCTAGGGGCCACCTGGGTGGCTCAATAGGTCAAGTGTCTGAGTTTGGGTCAATGTCATGATCTCGCGGGCCGTGAGTTCCAGCCCTGCATCGGATTCACTCCTGTCAGTGCAGAGCCCGCCCTGGATCCTCTGTCTGCCTCTCTCTGCCCCTCCCCTTCCCTCAAAAATAAATAAACATTAAAAAAAAAAAAA